TGGCTTTACCTCATTCTATCTTTTGCTTCTTCAAAGCTGTCGGTGAAGAAATACACGTCCTGGAACGTTGTAATCAAACACTCCTGACGACATGTACGGGTCGGTTCGAATGGTATCTTCTCGGTTTTACTCGTCAATGCATGCTGAAAATCAACGTTGTATAGACTGATGATGTAGATAGGCCTCATGGTTACATATTTTATATTTTCCACTCCTGGATAGTAACATTCCTGCACCCCCAATCTATGGTGTTTACATGTCACAGTTGATTCGATATTCAAAGGTCTTGTTACCATTATAACGATTTGCGTGCAAGTAGTCGTCAACTGACGGACAAACTCGTAACACAGGGTTTCAAAAGATGTAGGTTGATAAAATTTAGGAGGAAGTTTTACGGTCGTCATAGTGATCTCATAGAGAAATATTCTTTTTCTTTGTGCAATATTAAATAGACGTGTATTATACTCGTTGGTTTGCCTGTTGGTCCCGTTGTCGTATACTTCGCTCTCATTTGAGGACGTGACATTACTTACTTTGATAAACCAAGCTTTACATGGCGGATGTCGTCGATGTAGGATAAGTCGTCCACTCTGCCTAGGTGCTTACTCACCTTTAACTCCCCAACAGATGAGAGCAGGCTTGTGCTGTGTGCCCTAGGTACTAACTCACCTTTACCTCCCCAACAGATGAGAGCAGGCTTGTGCTGTATACCCTAGGTACTAACTCACCTTTACCTCCCCAACAGATGAGAGCAGGCTTGTGCTGTATACCCTAGGTACTAACTCACCTTTACCTCCCCAACAGATGAGAGCAGGCTTGTGCTGTATACCCTAGGTACTAACTCACCTTTACCTCCCCAACAGATGAGAGCAGGCTTGTGCTGTATGCCCTTGGTACTAACTCACCTTTACCTCCCTAATAGATGAGAGTAAGCTTGCGGTGTATACCCTAGGTACTAACTCACCTTTACCTCCCCAACAGATGAGAGCAGGCTTGTGCTGTATACCCTAGGTACTAACTCACCTTTACCTCCCCAACAGATGAGAGCAGGCTTGTGCTGTATATGAGAGCAGGCTTGTGCTGTATGCCCTAGGTACTAACTCACCTTTACCTCCCCAACAGATGAGAGCAGGCTTGTGCTGTATGCTGTATACCCTAGGTACTACTCACCTTTACCTCCCCAACAGATGAGAGCAGGCTTGTGCTGTATACCCTAGGTACTAACTCACCTTTACCTCCCCAACAGATGAGAGCAGGCTTGTGCTGTATACCCTAGGTACTAACTCACCTTTACCTCCCCAACAGATGAGAGCAGGCTTGTGCTGTATACCCTAGGTACAACTCACCTTTACCTCCCCAACAGATGAGAGCAGGCTTGTGCTGTATGCCCTAGGTACTACCTTTACCTCCCCAACAGATGAGAGCAGGCTTGTGCTGTATACCCTAGCTAACTCACCTTTACCTCCCCAACAGATGAGAGCTGTGCTGTATGCCCTAGGTACTAACTCACCTTTACCTCCCCAACAGATGAGAGCAGGCTTGTGCTGTATGCCCTAGGTACTAACTCACCTTTAACTCCCCAACAGATGAGAGCAGGCTTGTGCTGTATGCCCTAGGTACTAACTCACCTTTACCTCCCCAACAGATGAGAGCAGGCTTGTGCTGTATACCCTAGGTACTAACTCACCTTTACCTCCCCAACAGATGAGAGCAGGCTTGTGCTGTATGCCCTAGGTACTAACTCACCTTTACCTCCCCAACAGATGAGAGCAGGCTTGTGCTGTATGCCCTAGGTACTAACTCACCTTTACCTCCCCAACAGATGAGAGCAGGCTTGTGCTGTATGCCCTAGGTACTATGAGAGCAGGCACCTTTAACTCCCCAACAGATGAGAGCAGGCTTGTGCTGTATGCCCTTGGTACTAACTCACCTTTACCTCCCCAACAGATGAGAGTGGACTTGTGCTGTATGCCTTAGATACTAACTCACCTTTAACTCCCCAACAGATGAGAGCAGGCTTGTGCTGTATATCCTAGGTACTAACTCACCTTTAACTCACCAACAGATGAGAGCAGGCTTGTGCTGTATGCCCTAGGTACTAACTCACCTTTACCTCCCCAACAGATGAGAGCAGGCTTGTGCTGTATATCCTAGGTACTAACTCACCTTTACCTCCCCAACAGATGAGAGCAGGCTTGTGCTGTATACCCTAGGTACTAACTCACCTTTACCTCCCCAACAGATGAGAGCAGGCTATGCCCTAGGTACTAACTCACCTTTAAACAGATGAGAGCAGGCTTGTGCTGTATACCCTAGGTACTAACTCACCTTTACCTCCCCAACAGATGAGAGCAGGCTTGTGCTGTATGCCCTAGGTACTAACTCACCTTTACCTCCCCAACAGATGAGAGCAGGCTTGTGCTGTATGCCCTAGGTACTAACTCACCTTTACCTCCCCAACAGATGAGAGCAGGCTTGTGCTGTATGCCCTAGGTACTAACTCACCTTTACCTCCCCAACAGATGAGAGCAGGCTTGTGCTGTATACCCTAGGTACTAACTCACCTTTACTCCCCAACAGATGAGAGCAGGCTTGTGCTGTATGCCCTAGGTACTAACTCACCTTTACCTCCCCAACAGATGAGAGCAGGCTTGTGCTGTATGCCCTAGGTACTAACTCACCTTTACCTCCCCAACAGATGAGAGCAGGCTTGTGCTGTATGCCCTAGGTACTAACTCACCTTTACCTCCCCAACAGATGAGAGCAGGCTTGTGCTGTATACCCTAGGTACTAACTCACCTTTACCTCCCCAACAGATGAGAGCAGGCTTGTGCTGTATGCCCTAGGTACTAACTCACCTTTACCTCCCCAACAGATGAGAGCAGGCTTGTGCTGTATACCCTAGGTACTAACTCACCTTTACCTCCCCAACAGATGAGAGCAGGCTTGTGCTGTATTCCCTAGGTACTAACTCACCTTTACCTCCCCAACAGATGAGAGCAGGCTTGTGCTGTATGCCCTAGGTACTAACTCACCTTTAACTCCCCAATAGATGAGAGCAGGCTTGTGCTGTATGCCCTAGGTACTAACTCACCTTTAACTCCCCAACAGATGAGAGCAGGCTTGTGCTGTATGCCCTAGGTACTAACTCACCTTTAACTCCCAAAAGATGAGAGCAGGCTTGTGCTGTATGCCCTAGGTGTATCACCTTTAACTCCCCAACAGATGAGAGCAGGCTTGTGCCTAGGTACTAACTCACCTTTACCTCCCCAACAGATGAGAGCAGGCTTGTGCTGTATGCCCTAGGTACTAACTCACCTTTACCTCCCCAACAGATGAGAGCAGGCTTGTGCTGTATGCCCTAGGTACTAACTCACCTTTAACTCCCCAACAGATGAGAGCAGGCTTGTGCCCCTAGGTACTTCACCTTTAACTCCCCAACAGATGAGAGCAGGCTTGTGCTGTATGCCCTAGGTACTAACTCACCTTTACCTCCCCAACAGATGAGAGCAGGCTTGTGCTGTATACCCTAGGTACTAACTCACCTTTAACTCCCCAACAGATGAGAGCAGGCTTGTGCTGTATGCCCTAGGTACTAACTCACCTTTACCTCCCCAACAGATGAGAGCAGGCTTGTGCTGTATGCCCTAGGTACTAACTCACCTTTAACTCCCCAACAGATGAGAGCAGGCTTGTGCTGTATGCCCTAGGTACTAACTCACCTTTAATTCCCAAACAGATGAGAACAGGCATGCGGTGTATACCCTAGGTACTAACTCACCTTTAACTCCCCAACAGATGAGAGCAGGCTTGTGCTGTATGCCCTAGGTACTAACTCACCTTTAACTCCCCAACAGATGAGAGCAGGCTTGTGCTGTATGCCCTAGGTACTAACTCACCTTTAACTCCCCAACAGATGAGAGCAGGCTTGTGCTGTATGCCCTAGGTACTAACTCACCTTTACCTCCCTAATAGATGAGAGCAGGCTTGCGGTGTTTACCCTAGGTGCTAACTCACCTTTAACTCCCCAACAGATGAGAGCAGGCTTGTGCTGTATGCCCTAGGTACTAACTCACCTTTAACTCCCCAACAGATGAGAGCAGGCTTGTGCTTGTGCTGTATGCCCTAGGTACTAACTCACCTTTAACTCCCCAACAGATGAGAGCAGGCTTGTGCTGTATGCCCTAGGTACTAACTCACCTTTACCTCCCCAACAGATGAGAGTGGACTTGTGCTGTATGCCCTAGATACTAACTCACCTTTAACTCCCCAACAGATGAGAGCAGGCTTGTGCTGTATGCCCTAGGTACTAACTCACCTTTAACTCCCCAACAGATGAGAGCAGGCTTGTGCTGTATGCCCTAGGTACTAACTCACCTTTAACTCCCCAACAGATGAGAGCAGGCTTGTGCTGTATGCCCTAGGTACTAACTCACCTTTAACTCCCCAACAGATGAGAGTAGGCTTGTGCTGTATGCCCTAGGTACTAACTCACCTTTAACTCCCCAACAGATGAGAGCAGGCTTGTGCTGTATGCCCTAGGTACTAACTCACCTTTAACTCCCCAACAGATGAGAGCAGGCTTGTGCTGTATGCCCTAGGTACTAACTCACCTTTAACTCCCCAACAGATGAGAGCAGGCTTGTGCTGTATATCCTAGGTACTAACTCACCTTTAACTCCCCAACAGATGAGAGTAGGCTTGTGCTGTATGCCCTAGGTACTAACTCACCTTTAACTCCCCAACAGATGAGAGCAGGCTGAGATGAGAGTAGGCTTGTGCTGTATGCCCTAGGTACTAACTCACCTTTAACTCCCCAACAGATGAGAGTAGGCTTGTGCTGTATGCCCTAGGTACTAACTCACCTTTAACTCCCCAACAGATGAGAGCAGGCTTGTGCTGTATGCCCTAGGTACTAACTCACCTTTAACTCCCCAACAGATGAGAGCAGGCTTGTGCTGTATGCCCTAGGTACTAACTCACCTTTAACTCCCCAATAGATGAGAGTAGGCCTGCACCGTATGCCCTCAGGTTTCCGTCCTGCTTACACAGCCCAAACTCAACCGTGAAAAAGTAGCACTGCAATATAATCGTCTTATTCATTTTAATTTGACAATGGAATAATGTATCATTAGAGCACAATCTTCTACAACATCGCGTTCGCATCCTTTATCCTAAACTACAGCGTGAATGCACATTTAACTGTAATGTTAACTTCATACACTAGCTGCTAGTTATCTATGTAAAACTGCTCATTTAAAGGAGTGAAAATACGGTTCTGACACACCTTAATCTGACACAAAGCATTTTGCGAGGCTGTGTTGAAGTGTTTGAAACAAGACAAGTATTTAGGAACAAAACCACTATTTGTGTTAAAAGTTTTGTGTATCATGCTCGGTCTGTGCATATATCAACTGTTTTTCAAAGATTGTCAAAACACACAATTGAATAGCCCCTTTAACATAAATTCAGAGTTAGATATAGTAGAGGCAAACAATGAGTTAAACAGCATCACACAGCTGTTTCGTCCCTCTAGGATTCGTAAGTAAAAATTACGTAGCCATCAAAAACCATTTTACTCGTGCTATTACCTAATCAGTAGATGAATTGCTAATCCCCCTGTCACTATCCTTCCTCTCTAACGTTGACTTTAGCATGGTGCTATAGGTTAGTGTGCTCGGAAACCGTACCAACTTACATAGTAGATACTTACCGTCGCTAATTTCTGTACTTCCTCGTCAGAGACCCCCAGCGAAGCCAATCCAAGTTCCTGTGAGAACTGTGCGAAGCTGGGATCAGCTAGAAGGGGCATGTGGCCTAGTAACTCGTGACAACAGTCACTGTAAAACACAACACGCCATATATAATGGATGAACATAAGTTGGAAAACGCCTTTGTCCCTCTAAAACAACAATATATGGTCCATATAATGGTTGTAACCCCATATAAATTCTGCTTTATATATATCAGGCCTTTGACGGATGATACCCTATATTGTTCAATTCCAGGTACCTTTACCAGAACTGGCGTGTTAATCTTTGAACTCTAGATAAACCTGTCATTATAATACTCACGGTTCCGGTGTGTAGAACGGGTCTGATCTATGACGGATGTATTGTGTGCAATGGAATACACGGAATGCAAGTCCTGCCAGAAAGTCCCGCGATGATAGATATCCCGCAACAGGTCGGAGTTGGAAACCAGTTCGTTCTAGAGGTGATAAGTTGACCGGCAATAAGCAAATACAACAAAAACAAGAGGCCCATGGACCATAACAGTCATCAGGTCAAAAATCATAGAAAATGTTGATGCTCTTCACAAAATATTAAATATTTTTTCGGAAATAATTCCCTCTCCAGAGACGTTTCAGACCAAATTTGGTTGAAATATGTCCACACGTATGAGAAGAGAAGGATTTTAAAGACAATTTCTGATTTCTCTTCACGGGCCTTCTGCTTGGCCCCTTAGGATCGATATATCTTCCGATCTAAAAATCATTCTTACCCTTCCCAAATTATGTATCAGACCAAATATATCAGAACTCTGTCCGATTTAATCAGAGAAGAATTTCAAAGACTAATTCTACAATTTCTCCTAACATACCTCATCCCTTGGCACCTAGGAATCGACATAGCCCCTTTATTATATATATTAGGATTACCTTCCTTTAATAATATTCCATGCCAAATTTGGTTGAAATCGACATAAGCGTTAAAAAGGAATAGAAAAAACACCCTTTTGGTGCCTGTCCCAGAGACTGAATAAACTCCATAAGTTCTGTATCAATCATGATGTCCCTCGATCCCCAATGATATATCAGACCAAATTTTATTGAAATCCACTCAGGCGTTTAGGAGGAGTAGCGTCTAGAAACAAAAATTTTACCTAAATTCCCGTTAAGGGCTTCGCTGCAAAGTCCCCATAGGGTCGAATCAACTTCAATTATTTAAAGTGATAACCTTCCCTCAGTAGTGTGTCGGGCCAGATTTGGTTGAAATCCACTCAACTACTAAGGAGAGCTAAATTTAAGAATTTTCACCATTCTGTCCTGTCCCAAATTCCCAGAGGTCGAATCAACTTCATTAATTTAAATTAAAATTGAATTAAATTTGTTCAAGTATATAGGAAGAGAAGCATTTTGAAGTAAAAGTCTTTACGGTCAGATGCCGTGATTATAAAACTGATTTTAAAAAGGGAGATGAAATCATTAGAATACATTCCAATACAAATAGTATTTGAAAGCATTTTTGGAAAAAGTATATTTTATGTTTATGAAAGAATTCAGTTTTAGGCTATATGTATCTTATAAAGTAATTCAGGACGAAATACAGCTGTTCTCTTCCCTTTCTTTTGTACAGTCTTTTATTTTCATGCACATACAAACCTTTAAGGAACTCTGATACATCCTCTAGTTGTGGTAAATTGTTTTCTCTGAAAGTAAAAATAAATAAAATTAAAGTAGAACGTCGTCAGAAACAAACCAAAGTAAAGTGGAATACCGTCAGACATATCAAAGTAAAGTGGAATACCGTCAGACATATCAAAGTAAAGTGGAATACCGTCAGACATATCAAAGTAAAGTTTAATATCGTCAGACGTATCAAAGTAAAGTGGAATACCGTCAGACATATCAAAGTAAAGTGGAATACCGTCAGACATATCAAAGTAAAGTGGAATACCGTCACACATATCAAAGTAAAGTGGAATATCGTCAGACATATCAAAGTAAAGTGGAATACCGTCAGACATATCAAAGTAAAGTGGAATATCGTCAGACATATCAAAGTAAAGTGGAATACCGTCAGACATATCAAAGTAAAGTGGAATACCGTCAGACATATCAAAGTAAAGTTGAATATCGTCAGACATATCAAAGTAAAGTTGAATATCGTCAGACATATCAAAGTAAAGTGGAATACCGTCAGACATATCAAAGTAAAGTTTAATACCATCAGACATATCAAAGTAAAGTGGAATACCGTCAGACATATCATAGTAAAGTGGAATACCGTCACACATATCAAAGTAAAATGGAATACCGTCAGACATATCAAAGTAAAGTGGAATACCGTCAGACATATCAAAGTAAAGTGGAATACCGTCAGACATATCAAAGTAAAGTGGAATACCGTCAGACATATCAAAGTAAAGTGGAATACCGTCACACATATCAAAGTAAAGTGGAATATCGTCAGACATATCAAAGTAAAGTGGAATACCGTCAGACATATATTCGGATACAAAGTTAAGCGGAATATATTCGGATACAAAGTTAAGCGGAATATATTCGGATACAAAGTTAAGCGGAATATATTCGGATACAAAGTAAAGTGGAATATATTCGGATACAAAGTAAAGAGAAATATATTCGGATACAAAGTAAAGTGGAATATATTCGGATACAATGTAAGGCGGAGTTGTCGTCATATGTAAACTGGAGTAAAGTGGAATTTAGTCAGATACACACATTCAATTAAATATATTGCGTACAAACCATTAAAATAAAACAGCGTTTTGTTTTTCAAACCAGAAAACTGAATAGTATAGTTCATGATGACGTTGAACAGCTTTTGATACAGAAATCTCCGATCTCCAGAAGGGTACTGTTTGATACCCTGTGATACAGAGATCAACCATCTCTGGGAGGATACAGTTTGATACCCTAAGATAGAGGGGCAAGTGTTTTGTTTACCTATATCCAAAGTGGTTGATGACGCAGTTTAATACCCTGTGATAGAGGGACGTGTGGTTACCTATATCCACAGTGGTTGATGATACAGTTTGATACCCTGTGATAGAGGGACGTGTGGTTACCTATATCCACAGTGGTTGATGATACAGTTTGATACCCTGTGATAGAGGGACGTGTGGTTTGTTTACCTGTAGTGGTTGATGATACAGTTTGATACCCTGTGATAGAGGGGCGTGTGGTTACCTATATCCACAGTGGTTGATAACAGAGTTTGATACCCTGTGATAGAGGGACGTGTGGTTTGTTTACCTGTAGTGGTTGATGATACAGTTTGATACCCTGTGATAGAGGGACGTGTGGTTACCTATATCCACAGTGGTTGATGATACAGTTTGATACCCTGTGATAGAGGGACGTGTGGTTACCTATATCCACAGTGGTTGATGATACAGTTTGATACCCTGTGATAGAGGGACGTGTGGTTACCTGTATCCACAGTGGTTGATGATACAATTTGATACCCTGTGGTAGAGGGACGTGTGGTTACCTATATCCACAGTGGTTGATGATGCAGTTTGATACCCTGTGATAGAGGGACGTGTGGTTACCTATATCCACAGTGGTTGATGATACAGTTTGATACCCTGTGATAGAGGGACGTGTGGTTACCTATATCCACAGTGGTTGATGATACAGTTTGATACCCTGTGATAGAGGGACGTGTGGTTACCTATATCCACAGTGGTTGATGATACAGTTTGATACCCTGTGATAGAGGGACGTGTGGTTACCTATATCCACAGTGGTTGATGGTACAGTTTGATACCCTGTGATAGAGGGACGTGTGGTTACCTATATCCACAGTGGTTGATGATACAGTTTGATACCCTGTGATAGAGGGACGTGTGTTTTGTTTACCTGTATCCGCAGTGGTCGATGAGTAGAGGCAGGTTTCGTAAATATTCTCTACATGCATGGGATGGATATAACTTCATCAGCTCTGAAAATACTGTCCCCCTGTCAAAACAAAGTTGTCACACAATAGAACAGACATTTAAAATCCCGCCCATTAACAACAAAACAAAAATATTCGCAAAAACCGACAAAAGTAGGTTTAGCAACCAATGTCAACATATAATGAAGCATATAGTGTCAACAGAACACAACAATATTTACTAAAATCTATATAAAATCAATAAATACCCCACAACTATCATCACCGGGGGGGGCTTAATCAGGACACGTAAAACTAAAGATATATACTGTAATATATACACTAAAGGAAAGTGTATATACTGCTAACCTACCATACCGTCACTGGAAAATCTTAAACCACGACACTAAAGGAAAGTGTATATACTGCTAACCTACCATACCACACGAGGAAATCTTAAACAACGACACTAAAGGAAAGAATGTAGACTGCTAACCTACCATACCACACTAGGAAATCTTAAACAACGAGACTAAAGGAACGAATGTAGACTGCTAACCTACCATACCGTCACTGGGAAATCTTAAACCACGACACTAAAGGAAAGTGTATATACTGCTAACCTACCATACCGTCACTGGGAAATCTTAAACCACGACACTAAAGGAAAGTGTATATACTGCTAACCTACCATACCGTCACTGGGAAATCTTAAACCACGACACTAAAGGAAAGTGTATATACTGCTAACCTACCATACCGTCACTGGGAAATCTTAAACCACGACACTAAAGGAAAGTGTATATACTGCTAACCTACCATACCACACTAGGAAATCTTAAACAACGACACTAAAGGAAAGTGTATATACTGCTAACCTACTATACCACACTAGGAAATCTTAAACAACGACACTAAAGGAAAGAATGTAGACTGCTAACCTACCATACCGTCACTGGGAAATCTTAAACCACGACACTAAAGGAAAGAATGTAGACTGCTAACCTACCATACCGTCACTGGGAAATCTTAAACCACGACACTAAAGGAAAGAATGTAGACTGCTAACCTACCATACCGTCACTGGAAAATCTTAAACCACGACACTAAAGGAAAGTGTATATACTGCTAACCTACCATACCGTCACTGGAAAATCTTAAACCACGACACTAAAGGAAAGTGTATATACTGCTAACCTACCATACCCCACAGGGAAATCTTAAACAACGACACTAAAGGAAAGTGTATATACTGCTAACCTACCATACCGTCACTGGTAAATCTTAAACAACGACACTAAAGGAAAGAATGTAGACTGCTAACCTACCATACCGTCACTGGGAAATCTTAAACAACGACACTAAAGGAAAGAATGTAGACTGCTAACCTACCATACCGACACTGGAAAATCTTAAACAACGACACTAAAGGAAAGTGTATATACTGCTAACCTACCATACCGTCACTGGAAAATCTTAAACCACGACACTAAAGGAAAGTGTATATACTGCTAACCTACCATACCGTCACTGGGAAATCTTAAACCACGACACTAAAGGAAAGTGTATATACTGCTAACCTACCATACCACACTGGGAAATCTTAAACAACGACACTAAAGGAAAGTGTATATACTGCTAACCTACCATACCACACTGGGAAATCTTAAACCACGACACTAAAGGAAAGTGTATATACTGCTAGCCTACCATACCAACTGGGAAATCTTAAACAACGACACTAAAGGAAAGAATGTATATACTGCTAACCTACCATACCACACTGGAAATCTTAAACAACGACACTAAAGGAAAGTGTATATACTGCTAACCTACCATACCGTCACTGGGAAATCTTAAACCACGACACTAAAGGAAAGTGTATATACTGCTAACCTACCATACCGTCACTGGAAAATCTTAAACAACGACACTAAAGGAAAGTGTATATACTGCTAACCTACCATACCGTCACTGGAAAATCTTAAACAACGACACTAAAGGAAAGTGTATATACTGCTAACCTACCATACCACACTAGGAAATCTTAAACAACGACACTAAAGGAAAGAATGTAGACTGCTAACCTACCATACCACACTAGGAAATCTTAAACAACGACACTAAAGGAAAGAATGTAGACTGCTAACCTACCATACCGTCACTGGGAAATCTTAAACAACGACACTAAAGGAAAGTGTATATACTGCTAACCTACCATACCGTCACTGGAAATCTTAAACAACGACACTAAAGGAAAGTGTATATACTGCTAAGTGTATATACTGCTAACCTATACCGTCACTGGGAAATCTTAAACCACGACACTAAAGGAAAGTGTATATACTGCTAACCTACCATACCGTCACTGGGAAATCTTAAACCACGACACTAAAGGAAAGTGTATATACTGCTAACCTACCATACCGTCAATGGGAAATCTTAAACCACGACACTAAAGGAAAGTGTATATACTGCTAACCTACCATACCGTCACTGGGAAATCTTAAACCACGACACTAAAGGAAAGTGTATATACTGCTAACCTACCATACCACACTGGGAAATCTTAAACCACGACACTAAAGGAAAGTGTATATACTGCTAACCTACCATACCGTCACTGGGAAATCTTAAACCACGACACTAAAGGAACGAATGTAAACTGCTAACCTACCATACCGTCACTGGGAAATCTTAAACAACGACACTAAAGGAAAGTGTATATACTGCTAACCTACCATACCGTCACTGGGAAATCTTAAACCACGACACTAAAGGAAAGTGTATATACTGCTAACCTACCATACCACACTGGGAAATCTTAAACCACGACACTAAAGGAAAGTGTATATACTGCTAACCTACCATACCGTCACTGGGAAATCTTAAACAACGACACTAAAGGAAAGTGTATATACTGCTAACCTACCATACCACACTAGGAAATCTTAAACCACGACACTAAAGGAAAGAATGTATATACTGCTAACCTACCATACCACACTAAAGGAAATCTTAAACCACGACACTAAAGGAAAGAATGTAGACTGCTAACCTACCATACCGTCACTGGAAAATCTTAAACAACGACACTAAAGGAAAGTGTATATACTGCTAACCTACCATACCACACGAGGAAATCTTAAACAACGACACTAAAGGAAAGAATGTAGACTGCTAACCTACCATACCGTCACTGGAAAATCTTAAACAACGACACTAAAGGAAAGTGTATATACTGCTAACCTACCATACCGTCACTGGGAAATCTTAAACCACTACACTAAAGGAAAGAATGTAGACTGCTAACCTACCATACCACACTAGGAAATCTTAAACAACGACACTAAAGGAAAGTGTATATACTGCTAACCTACCATACCGTCACTGGAAAATCTTAAACAACGACACTAAAGGAAAGTGTATATACTGCTAACCTACCATACCACACGAGGAAATCTTAAACAACGACACTAAAGGAAAGAATGTAGACTGCTAACCTACCATACCACACTAGGAAATCTTAAACAACGAGACTAAAGGAAAGTGTATATACTGCTAACCTACCATACCGTCACTGGGAAATCTTAAACAACGACACTAAAGGAACGAATGTAGACTGCTAACCTACCATACCGTCACTGGAAAATCTTAAACAACGACACTAAAGGAAAGTGTATATACTGCTAACCTACCATACCACACGAGGAAATCTTAAACAACGACACTAAAGGAACGAATGTAGACTGCTAATCTACCATACCGTCACTGGAAAATCTTAAACAACGAGACTAAAGGAACGAATGTAGACTGCTAATCTACCATACCGTCACTGGGAAATCTTAAACCACGAGACTAAAGGAACGAATGTAGACTGCTAATCTACCATACCGTCACTGGGAAATCTTAAACCACGACACTAAAGGAAAGTGTATATACTGCTAACCTACCATACCGTCACTGGGAAATCTTAAACCACGACACTAAAGGAAAGTGTATATACTGCTAACCTACCATACCGTCACTGGGAAATCTTAAACCACGACACTAAAGGAAAGTGTATATACTGCTAACCTACCATGCCGTCACTGGGAAATCTTAAACCACGACACTAAAGGAAAGTGTATATACTGCTAGCCTACCATGCCGTCCCTAGGAAATCTTAAACCACGACACTAAAGGAACGAATGTAGACTGCTAACCTACCATACCACATTAGGAAATCTTAAACCACAACACTAAAGGAAAGTGTATATACTGCTAACCTACCATACCGTCACTGGGAAATCTTAAACAACGACACTAAAGGAAAGAATGTAGACTGCTAACCTACCATACCGTCACTGGGAAATCTTAAACCACGACACTAAAGGAAAGAATGTAGACTGCTAACCTACCATACCGTCACTGGAAAATCTTAAACCACGACACTAAAAGAAAGTGTATATACTGCTAACCTACCATACCGTCACTGGGAAATCTTAAACAACGACACTAAAGGAAAGTGTATATACTGCTAACCTACCATAGCACACTAGGAAATCTTAAATCACGACACCAAAGGAAAGAATGTAGACTGCTAACCTACCATACCACATTAGGAAATCTTAAACCACGACACTAAAGGAACGAATGTAGACTGCTAACCTACCATACCACACTAGGAAATCTTAAACAACGACACTAAAGGAAAGAATGTAGACTGCTAACCTACCATGCCTTACTGGGAAATCTTAAACAACGACACTAAAGGAAAGAATGTAGACTGCTAACCTACCATACCGTCACTGGAAAATCTTAAACAACGACACTAAAGGAAAGTGTATATACTGCTAACCTACCATACCACACGAGGAAATCTTAAACAACGACACTAAAGGAAAGAATGTAGACTGCTAACCTACCATACCACACTAGGAAATCTTAAACAACGAGACTAAAGGAAAGTGTATATACTGCTAACCTACCATACCGTCACTGGGAAATCTTAAACAACGACACTAAAGGAACGAATGTAGACTGCTAATCTACCATACCGTCACTGGAAAATCTTAAACAACGACACTAAAGGAAAGTGTATATACTGCTAACCTACCATACCGTCACTGGGAAATCTTAAACCACGACACTAAAGGAAAGTGTATATACTGCTAACCTACCATACCGTCACTGGGAAATCTTAAACAACGACACTAAAGGAAAGTGTATATACTGCTAACCTACCATACCGTCACTGGGAAATCTTAAACCACGACACTAAAGGAAAGTGTATATACTGCTAACCTACCATACCGTCACTGGGAAATCTTAAACCACGACACTAAAGGAAAGAATGTAGACTGCTAACCTACCATACCGTCACTGGGAAATCTTAAACCACGACACTAAAGGAAAGTGTATATACTGCTAACCTACCATACCGTCACTGGGAAATCTTAAACCACGACACTAAAGGAAAGAATGTAGACTGCTAACCTACCATGCCGTCCCTAGGAAATCTTAAACCACGACACTAAAGGAAAGTGTATATACTGCTAACCTACCATGCCGTCCCTAGGAAGTACACTAGAATCTTGGCATGCCTATATATACATTTCTACATATAGTATACCGTTAAGCTAATGATAGTGATGTACTACAGATAATATAACTTACCATGTTCGAACCTCCTCCGTCGTGTATTCTACTCTGGGAATAGGATTGCCACTGGTGAAAAAAATAGCAAGGTCAGTCGACAGAAAGTTTGGTGTTAAGATATTCATTCAATAGAAAAAAGATGTCGGTATTAAAATATCAATCAGTCGACAGAAGATGTCGGTATTAAAATATACAGTCAGTCGACAGATAGGGTCGGTATTGAGATATACAGTCAGTCGACAGAAGATGTCGGTATTAAGATATACAGTCAATCGACAGAAGAGGTCGGTATTAACATATACAGCCAGTCGACAGAAGAGGTCGGTATTAAGATATACAGTCAGTCGACAGAAGAGGTCGGTATTAACATATACAGTCAGTCGACAGAAGAGGTCGGTATTAAGATATACAGTCAGTCGACAGAAGATGTCGGTATTAAGATATACAGTCAGTCGACAGAAGATGTCGGTATTAAGATATACAGTCAATCGACAGAAGAGGTCGGTATTAACATATACAGTCAGTCGACAGAAGAGGTCGGTATTAAGATATACAGTCAGTCGACAGAAGAGGTCGGTATTAAGATATACAGTCAGTCGACAGAAGAGGTCGGTATTAAGATGTACAGTCCGTCGACAGAAGAGGTCTGTATTAAGATATACAGTCAGTCGACAGAAGAGGTCGGTATTAAGATATACAGTCAGTCGACAGAAGATGTCGGTATTAAGATATACAGTCAATCGACAGAAGAGGTCTGTATTAAGATATACAGTGAGTCGACAGAAGAGGTCTGTATTAAGATATACAGTCAGTCGACAGAAGAGGTCGGTATTAAGATATACAGTGAGTCGACAGAAGAGGTCGGTATTAAGATATACAGCCAGTCGACAGAAGATGTCGGTATTAAGATATACAGTCAGTCGACAGAAGATGTCGGTATTAAGATATACAGTCAGTCGACAGAAGAGGTCGGTATTAAGATATACAGTCAGTCGACAGAAGAGGTCGGTATTAAGATATACAGCCAGTCGACAGAAGAGGTCGGTATTAAGATATACAGCCAGTCGACAGAAGAGGTCGGTATTAAGATATACAGTCAGTCGACAGAAGATGTCGGTATTAAGATATACAGTCAGTCGACAGAAGAGGTCGGTATTAAGATATACAGCCAGTCGACAGAAGATTTTGTTGATTCAATGCCAAAAGAAACCCTATCGTGAAAATTACTTAAAACACATAAACTTGTTAGTGTGAAATGATCTGTGTTCGGATTTTAATGATGTGTTGATGTTGATGTCGTTTCTATTATACTTTGTACATCTGTATATGTTTTTATACTGTAACTAGGCATTCCATACTCGTAAACGTAGCGCCATCTTGTACGTGACAGGAGAATTGTTTATGTCCTTTGATTACCAAGATTTTCTAATCTATGAACGTCTGTTCAATTGACTAGCTGTCACAAACTGTTTGTTTTCAAGACAGTGAACAGAAAAATAATGTGAGACTAAAGTCTTTTTCCATCGATCTACATAGACAGGCTTTGTGTAGATCAGGACTGACGGAGCACAGAAACTTTACTTAATGTAGAACGAAGCCAGGATTGTTTTTTTCTCAATTACGTCTGTTCATGAAAACAACACAAAGAAATCTGTCGTACCACACAGCAATATTGTCATCATAGTATTCCGTTAGTAACCACAGTATATAATAAAAAAACTTTTCAAGTCAAGCGAATAGATATTATCCACAGAAAAGACTCAGATGCTGGCATTCCCTAAAATCGTGTAATATAGAGAGACGAGATTACCCTCCATATAGTATAAGATGTAGTTATTCCCTAAAGTAATGTAATATAGAGAGACGATATCACTCTCCATATAGTATAAGATGTAGTTATTCCCTAAAATCGTGTAATATAGAGAGACGATATTACCCTCCATATAGTATAAGATGCAGGTATTCCCTACAGTCGTGTAATATAGAGAGACGTGTAATATAGAGAGACGATATCACTCTCCATATAGTATAAGATGCAGGTATTCCCTAAAGTCGTGTAATATAGAGAGACGTGTAGAGAGACGATATTCCCATATAGTATAAGATGTAGTTATTCCCTAAAGTCGTGTAATATAGAGAGATATCGTGTCCAATATAGAGAGAGAGACGATATCACTCTCCATATAGTATAAGATGTAGTTATTCCCTAAAGGCGTGTAATATAGAGAGACGATATCACTCTCCATATAGTATAAGATGCAGGTATTCCCTAAAGTCGTGTAATATAGAGAGACGTGTAATATAGAGAGACGATATCACTCTCCATATAGTATAAGATGCAGGTATTCCCTAAAGTCGTGTAATATAGAGAGACGTGTAATATAGAGAGACGATATCACTCTCCATATAGTATAAGATGTAGTTATTCCCTAAAGGCGTGTAATATAGAGAGACGATATCACTCTCCATATAGTATAAGATGCAGGTATTCCCTAAAGTCGTGTAATATAGAGAGACGTGTAATATAGAGAGACTATATAAATCTCCATATAGTATAAGATGTATTCCCTACAGTAGAGAGACGATAATATAGAGAGACGTGTAATATAGAGAGACGATATCACTCTCCATATAGTATAAGATGTAGTTATTCCCTAAAATCGTGTAATATAGAGAGACGATATTACCCTCCATATAGTATAAGATGTAGGTTTTCCCGAAAGTCGTAATATAGAGAGACAACCTCATCCTCTATATAGTATAAGATGTAGGTATTACCTTATATAGAATTAAACGTACCCAGTATATAGGATATCACTAAAGTCGATCATTAGGGTTAATAATCCTCCACAATGAAGAGGTCGGTTTGTAGAATCTATAACCGAGAACTTGATACCATTACAGTAATACAGCAGTTGTTTTCCACGATAATCCTTCTGGGTGGCGGTGTCACTCAACACAAAAGGGAAAGCTTATAGATATCATTTTGATGTCGTCATCGGCCATGATATCGTCCCAGGAGAAATGCCAAAGCGAGCGGTACGTTACTTATCATGAAATTAATACATCTTTATTACAACTTTTTTTACGCTGTTATTATTTTCAATGGCGATTTATTCCTTAATATTTACCATTGTATGGCATTTATACGATGTAATCTCACCATCGTCAGTTGTGTATGATCAGCTGATCAACTGCCAGCATCGTAGGAATATTGTAAGTTGTGTAAAAACAAATTGGGGGTTTCTTCTCTTACAAAAAGATTAAAACTTAAATTAATGAATATGAAGTATTGAGCTTGTAGTCGGTATTTCTGGGCATGGGAACTGTCCATGAAAACTGTCCATGAAGGCTGTCCATGAAGGCAAACTGGAAGCAGTTCACATCGAAATCAACAGCGAATGGGACACAAGTTTTGAATATTGTTATAAACTTGTTATCAAGCATGTTACTGATTGCTTCTAAAATAATTGTACGTGCTTGAAGCAGATCACAACAGTGGTGTGACGTAACCTACATATGCACGGGCTAAATGTCACAAAAGTAACCAAACAAAAATCGACGTCGCATACACAGTGTCTAACCCCACACGCTAAATCTATGAATAGAAATGTGCATCGATTGTCTTAAAGCCAATAAATATGGATGAGGTTGGGGTAGGGAGGACGCGCTGAGCCCGGCCCGAACCCAACAGAGGCCAATTACATCAAATGAAAGTGATTGTAAACCAAACATTCAGATAGCCCAATCATGCATATATAACCAGACGTCGATCTCCTTTTATTCCATTTTATATCGGACCAAATCTCCGTGTATAAAAATAGTAGTGCTTGACGACAAAAATACATTGGACTCAGCAAATTTCTTTTTGATTCCTTACTCGTGCTGCATTCTTCTGTGACAATGTAAATGACGTATATGATGTGTATTGAGAGAGAGAGAGAGAGAGAGAGAGAGAGAGAGAGAGAGAGAGAGAGAGAGAGAGAGAGAGAGAGAGAGAGAGAGAGAGAGAGAGAGAGAGAGAATAAATGTTATTTATTTATTTGTTTCAGGGTTCAGGTCCATTGTGTTAGCAACGTTATTGAAATTCATAGAAAATAATAAAACTTCTGTAGTCATGGTTACGGACTTAGCCCCCAAATCCTTTAGATTAGTCCTTTCTGTTATGTGACATTCCCGTTCTTTGGAGAACACGTGCTTGTGATTTATTTATTTGTAGGTCCGCGAAAGAATCACAATTTGTACTTAGTAACGTAGGAAGACGTGTACTTGGAACGGTTCGTTGTCCATCTTTTGTCTTTTGTTTTTGTTTTGTTTTTGTAAACAATAATTGCCAATGTAAATTAAAGCCAAATCAAAGATATTTTAAAGTAATTTGACAAGTCAGAATGGCGATACTGTCTTCTGGTTTCACAAATCATGTAAAACTACACACATACATATCACCTCATTAAGAAATCATGCATATCTTTAGAACGGGTGAAAACAACAACAAAACGTGGTACCCACTATACCAATCAATTTCCCACTCTCAACGCATACTTACTATTTGTAAGCCATAGCAATATCGGCAAAGTACTTCCGCCTTTGTCTATACACTTTGTCTTTAAAACCCTGAAAAGTATACAGATGAAAACTTTGTAACCTGTATGACGCATTTAAATGCATGTCATTAGTGGCACGGTTCATGTATTCTGGACGTTGTTTTGAAGTCATGTCATTAGTGGCACGGTTCATGTATTCTGGACGTTGTTTTGAAGTCATGTCATTAGTGGCACGGTTCATGTATTCTGGACGTTGTTTTGAAGTCATGCCATTAGTGGCACGGTTCATGTATTCTGGACGTTGTTTTGAAGTCATGCCATTAGTGGCACGGTTCATGTATTCTGGACGTTGTTTTGAAGTCATGTCATTAGTGGCACGGTTCATGTATTCTGGACGTTGTTTTGAAGTCATGTCATTAGTGGCACGGTTCATGTATTCTGGACGTTGTTTTGAAGTCATGTCATTAGTGGCACGGTTCATGTATTCTGGACGTTGTTTTGAAGTCATGTCATTAGTGGCACGGTTCATGTATTCTGGACGTTGTTTTGAAGTCATGTCATTAGTGGCACGGTTCATATATTCTGGACGTTGTTTTGAAGTCATGCCATTAGTGGCACGGTTCATGTATTCTGGACGTTGTTTTGAAGTCATGCCATTAGTGGCACGGTTCATGTATTCTGGACGTTGTTTTGAAGTCATGTCATTAGTGGCACGGTTCATGTATTCTGGACGTTGTTTTGAAGTCATGCCATTAGTGGCACGGTTCATGTATTCTGGACGTTGTTTTGAAGTCATGTCATTAGTGGCACGGTTCATGTATTCTGGACGTTGTTTTGAAGTCATGTCATTAGTGGCACGGTTCATGTATTCTGGACGTTGTTTTGAAGTCATGTCATTAGTGGCACGGTTCATGTATTCTGGACGTTGTTTTGAAGTCATGTCATTAGTGGCACGGTTCATGTATTCTGGACGTTGTTTTGAAGTCATGTCATTAGTGGCACGGTTCATGTATTCTGGACGTTGTTTTGAAGTCATGTCATTAGTGGCACGGTTCATGTATTCTGGACGTTGTTTTGAAGTCATGTCATTAGTGGCACGGTTCATGTATTCTGGACGTTGTTTTGAAGTCATGCCATTAGTGGCACGGTTCATGTATTCTGGACGTTGTTTTGAAGTCATGCCATTAGTGGCACGGTTCATGTATTCTGGACGTTGTTTTGAAGTCATGTCATTAGTGGCACGGTTCATGTATTCTGGACGTTGTTTTGAAGTCATGTCATTAGTGGCACGGTTCATGTATTCTGGACGTTGTTTTGAAGTCATGCCATTAGTGGCACGGTTCATGTATTCTGGACGTTGTTTTGAAGTCATGTCATTAGTGGCACGGTTCATGTATTCTGGACGTTGTTTTGAAGTCATGCCATTAGTGGCACGGTTCATGTATTCTGGACGTTGTTTTGAAGTCATGCCATTAGTGGCACGGTTCATGTATTCTGGACGTTGTTTTGAAGTCATGCCATTAGTGGCACGGTTCATGTATTCTGGACGTTGTTTTGAAGTCATGTCATTAGTGGCACGGTTCATGTATTCTGGACGTTGTTTTGAAGTCATGTCATTAGTGGCACGGTTCATGTATTCTGGACGTTGTTTTGAAGTCATGTCATTAGTGGCACGGTTCATGTATTCTGGACGTTCTGTTGAAGTCATATACTATTTGAAAATTACAAACTGTTTGAATTGTTCGTCTAATGCACCTCCTCGTCTAGATTTTGACAAGTTTTGATATTCCTCTGCCGTCCTAAGGTTTTAACACTTTACACCATTAACATCACCAATACTTATAAGTTACAGAACAGTTGTATGATGCAATCCAATTATTTGGTTTTACATTACGTAAGATTCTGAATTAATGATGAAGAGAGCTATTGACTTGTGTGTCTTTGTGTAAACCATGGGTTATCAGAGCTCTGTCACAGTTAAACGGGTTCAAGACTATCATAGCAGGTAGCATCATTATTACAGATATATATAGCATGGCCATTTGATTTAAAGTTTACTTACCGGGTGGTCAGCATCCAATTCAATACCGTACATGAGGACACGATTGGCTGAATGGTCTAGATCAGAAATCTTCCTGGGAAACCATGGTGCATCAAGGAGTAGGTCTTCCGCTAAAAAACCAAAACATCTTGTTCTTAATAGTAGCATACCATATATCGTCGATCATAAATAGAGGCTTTTGTGTTCATCTCCAACTATAATTGTGTACGTATAATGGCCTACATATTTATTGTGAGACATGACGGGATGCTTTTTCATTTATTTTTCAGAATTCATATATCCAATTATTGATACAAAATATTCATTTGCTGTGGGTTTTTTTAAACACAACCAATCCTTGGCTAACAATGATAGATGTCAAGTTAACAAGCGATAAACACACTTCACCTTCGTCTGACCTGTCTAGATGTCAAGTTAACAAGCGATAAACACACTTCACCTTCGTCTGACCTGTCTAGATGTCAAGTTAACAAGCGATAAACACACTTCACCTTCGTCTGACCTGTCTAGATGTCAAGTTAACAAGCGATAAACACACTTCACCTTCGTCTGACCTGTCTAAATGTCAAGTTAACAAGCGATAAACCTTTGTCTGACCTGTTTAGATGTCAAGTTAACAAGCGATAAACACACTTCACCTTCGTCTGACCTGTCTAGATGTCAAGTTAACAAGCGATAAACACACTTCACCTTCGTCTGACCTGTCTAGATGTCAAGTTAACAAGCGATAAACACACTTCACCTTCGTCTGACCTGTCTAAATGTCAAGTTAACAAGCGATAAACCTTTGTCTGACCTGTTTAGATGTCAAGTTAACAAGCGATAAACACACTTCACCTTCGTCTGACCTGTCTAGATGTCAAAGTAACGAAATACTTCACTATTGAATGTCGAGGGATATGTGTCATGATAACATATTTCATCAATTGCTTAAGACTGCAGGTGCTGTGGTAACTGAACACGTTTCCTCAGTGGCTGACGAGGTTAGGTGTCATTGTAACTAAACACACTTTACCATTGGCTGACGAAGTTAGGTGTCATTGTAACTAAACACATTTTACCATTGGCTGACGAAGTTAGGTGTCATTGTAACAAAACACATTTTACCATTGGCTATTGAGAGTAGGTGTCATGGTAACTACAAAAAAATCACCAATTGCTCAAGAGAGAAGGCGTCATGGTAACTACACATATTTCACCATTGGCTGTCGAGGATACGCGTTATGGTAACTACACATATTTCACCAATGACTCACGAGAGAAGGCGTCATGGTAACAAAATAATCTTTACCCTACGATTGATGAAGACAGATATCATAGTAAATAAATACACCCCATCTTTGACTGACAAGGGTGAAAAATGATAATTCAAGTATTGAATTCATGCCTGGTGAGGGCAAGTGACACATTAACTTCACCAAAACAAAAAGTACAAGTTACAAATCTATGAATTATAAATCGACGAATCAAGAGAAACGCTGCCAGCGAAATAACGATTTACATGGCGATCACAGAAGTACAAGGAGGAAGAGACGTGAAGTAAGCTGGGGGCACCGCCATATAAACATCCTGGTCAGTCATGTAAGTGATGTCGCGTTCTGAAACTAGCTGAAATCGCTGGGCTTAAACACGATATTCGAACATATGAGACTACATATTTCACAAGGAAATGCCATAGCCTTTAGTGACGACCTTTACACTTCTCTTTAGTCAAACAACCTTCACCTTTCGAAACCCGTGTTGTAAATTTTTCTGTCAACTTTCGTCATCTTTTACGGAAATTGTGATATTGGCAACAAGTGCTTGGGTATCAAATATTTAGTAAGCAGAATTGTTCTTATCTAGTAACGAAAACATCACAACAGAAAATTGTGAAAAACCACGATTATCATGCATCTCATTGGAATGTAGGTAAGTCTGTTATATCAACGATTTTTAATTTTCGTAAGAATATAGGAACTGTATTGTCAACATATTTCTTTTTTGTAAAGACAAAATATTTTTTCACATATCTAAAAGTAATGCATTTTATCTAAATGATCTCATTGGGATGAAGGTAGGTTCTGTGGAAACTGAACACGCTCATTCTCAACCGATTAGAGAAGATGTCTTGGCAATGCTACATTCCGCTAGAAATAGCTATGGGTAGAAATCATGATAACTCCTCTAATGAATTGGTATAAGAGTGAATCTTACCTGAAGGGGGTAGTCGTAAAGACGGTGCAGGAGAAGGGGGTACAGGCAAGTCGTTGTAGCTGATACTGGCAACCTCTTGTTTTAGACGTTTGATTAATTCCTCCAGACGAATGTTATCTGTTTCCAAATCCACATAAATGTCAAACTCGGAATCACTGCGCTTTGATTTCCGCGATTCTATATGTACAACGTTGATATGGTTTTCCTGGAACATTTTATATCAAGTTATTAAAATACATTCAGAAACATCATAGTCTCACATAGGAACTCTTCGTGTGTGCCTATTCTCCTTTTTATTGACGGGAATGTTACAGGTTTTCTCGGTTTGGTTTTAAACTGACGAGAAAATCAAATTAAATTATATGTAAGGCAAAAATTCATGCTGAAGAGATAGTTGTAATACATTGCACATTGTACAATGAAAACAAGTACAAGAATGAAATCATGTTCATCATGAAGTGTGAGATAAAATATGTGTTTTAAAAATTACATCACTACAGTTTCAATAAAAAGAAAATAAAAACAATCTGTGAGATCCTACACCCACACACTATTACTATGGCAGTAAAGTCTTCATGAAAGTTCACCTCATTAAGACCCCCCCAACTTTTAAAACAAATTTTTTATCCTTCATTCTATAAAAAAAAACTCTATATATCGTTTGCTTCAATATTAAGGCCATCTCGCAATAAGGCCATCTTCCATTTATCCCACATCGCAATAAGGCCACCTATCATTTATACCACACAAAAATAAGGCAATCTCTCATTTTATACCACATCGCAATAAGGCCATCTCTCATTTATACCACTTCGCAATAAGGCAATTTCTCATTCATACCACCTCGCATTAATGCTTTTTCTCATTAATACCACCTCGCAATAAGGCCATCTCTCATTGATACGACCTCGCAATAAGACCAGATCATTTGTACATAGAATGTCGCTTCATTTAAAATACCACTAACCAGACACAAAGTTACCTGGCGCTTATCCATCATCTACAACTTCCGTCCGTCGGTTCAGTTAGCTATATCTTGGTATCAAATGGCTACTCAGAAAATGTCAACAAAATCATGATCCAAACTCAATCAAAGACCTCCGAAAAAGCACAGTGAGAATAAGACCAGGTGCTTCGGCCGAATAAGCGTCTTCTAATTCTGGGTAATTCCATCCAAGAACGTTTTACAAAGTTCACAAATAGGAACAAGATTATCAACAGCAAACATTCCGACAAACATGTACTAACGAGCTTCGAACATGTCTACAAGCCAGCTCACCTGGAATATTCGCAGTGCCTTGATCAGGCATCCCACCTGGTTTTGGAGGGTGAACACAATAGATGTGGTCTTGCCTAAACCGGACGGGCTATATATGCCGTCGATCTTCTTCAAGTTTTCCTGATGACAAAATGATAAAAAATAATATTATAATTAATAATGAGGATAACATATTGTGGTAAAATACACTGACATAATATCTTACACGACAAATTAAAATGGAGGGAACACTGCAGACTTTATTTCACTAATTAGCATTAAGGGAGATATTGAACTACAGAACCTGTCAAGTTGTGACAGGTCTGCTGGTTTGACGAAGTGAACCATCGACCTAGATGTAAGGTTAGGTTTAGATTTATACCTTGGGTGAATGAAACAAAACCACTATAAATACTTTCTAGGTGTGAATCACAGAGGAGATGGAGTGGCTCACGGGTTCAATATCTTAATAGAAGAAGGTGATTACATTAATAAACAGATATAAAAGTGCGCCTGGATTAATACAACAACAATAGGTACAAAGGTATATCACATATGATATATTGAAACGGGCAGATATACTACAGAAGGTGCTGACATTTATTGGACGAAGTAAATACTTACATACCTATATGTAACACCTAATCAAGTGGCGTGTATAGCTTGTAGAGACAGTACAATAATACATTGAATTCATTATGTAACGATCGTTCGACGCACAGTGATTGCTGGTAGGTCGCCATAGTAACAATTAACCACCAATTTATTGACTACGATGACACTATAAATTCATTTCAGTTGAAATGGTTATTATGCATTCTCCATGTCCCGTGTTGGTTATTTTCATCATCTATTAATATATGTTCCTTTGTTGAATGAATATCAATAAAAACACGATAGAAAGAGCGATGAAACAGTATGTAGATAAACTACCTATAATCAGACCGCAACAATCAATGTGACTGATGATGTTGAGGGTATTTACAGAAACTGAGCTTGTAAGATCGTAGCCAACCAGGAACGTAAAGAAAGAAACATTGATTGTGAAATATAATTACATGTGCTAAATACATGTATCATTAGAAATATTTTAATAATATGATCACGTATGTGGCAGCAATAACTGTCAGTATAGAAAAAGACACAAAGACACAATAACTGTTAGTATAGAAAAAAACATAAAGACACAATAACTGCCAGTATAGAAAAAGACACAAACACACAATAACTGTTAGTATAGAAAAAGACACAAAGACACAATAACTGTTAGTATAGAAAAAAAACATAAAGACACAATAACTGCCAGTATAGAAAAAGACACAAAGACACAATAACTGTTAGTATAGAAAAAGACACAAAGACACAATAACTGTTAGTATAGAAAAAGACACAGACACAATAACTGTTAGTATAGAAAAAGACACAGACACAATAACTGCCAGTATAGAAAAAGACACAGACACAATAACTGTCAGTATAGAAAAAGACACAAAGACACAATAACTGTTAGTATAGAAAAAGACACAGACACAATAACTGTCAGTATAGAAAAAGACACAAAGACACAATAACTGTTAGTATAGAAAAAGACACAAAGACACAATAACTGTTAGTATAGAAAAAGACACAGACACAATAACTGTCAGTATAGAAAAAGACACAGACACAATAACTGTCAGTATAGAAAAAGACACAAAGACACAATAACTGCCAGTATAGAAAAAGACACAAACACACAATAACTGCCAGTATAGAAAAAAACATAAAGACACAATAACTGCCAGTATAGAAAAAGACACAAACACACAATAACTGTTAGTATAGAAAAAGACACAAAGACACAATAACTGCCAGTATAGAAAAAGACACAAAGACACAATAACTGTTAGTATAGAAAAAGACACAAAGACACAATAACTGTTAGTATAGAAAAAAAAAACATAAAGACACAATAACTGCCAGTATAGAAAAAGACACAAACACACAATAACTGCCAGTATAGAAAAAACATAAAGACACAATAACTGCCAGTATAGAAAAAGACACAAAGACACAATAACTGTCAGTACAGAAAAAGACACAAAGACACAATAACTGTCAGTATAGAATAAGACACAAAGACACAATAACTGCAAGTATAGAAAAAGACACAAAGACACAATAACTGTCAGTACAGAAAAAGACACAATTTTGTAATAAACCTTCGTGTATAAAACGATCTACCTGTAAGGATGTTAGTTGTGTGAAATATGGCAGGTTACCTTTACTTTAGACATATACGAGTGTATTGTAAAACATTGGTTTTAATTACTTAAAATAACTATGAACGGTGTTTACCACATTAGTGGAGTCCATGGAATATATGAGTTGTGGTAATGGATAATCCTATCACGTTAATTAGTTACCGGTTACCTGACAGGTACACCGCATCTAATTAGCCTATTATCCTACTCTCATCAACCTTTACAGACTTGTATATCTTTTATACAATATTTAAGATAGCAGGAAGTAGACACAGCTGGTGGGTTTTAGGTCCTGCACCGACCCGTCTAGATTTTAACTTTCCTTTCGATGGCTTTAGATTTTCCTCAGTCGCCTCCTAGGCTTCAAAATTTATGCCATTAACGCCACTGTATCTAACTCTAAGATTGTACAAAAGAAGAGCTCTTTTTCATGATTTAGATATGAGATACAGTAGAACCAAGCAATGAATTAGACTACATCATACAGCTGTTTCGTCCTCTTAGGACTCACCAGTGATGCTACATCATACAGCTGTTTCGTCCTCTTAGGACTCGTCAGTGATGTCACATCATACAGCGGTTTCGTCCTTCTAGGACTCGTCAGTGATGCTACATCATACAGCGTTTTCGTCCTTCTAGGACTCGTCAGTGATGCTACATCATACAGCTGTTTCGTCCTTTTAGGACTCGTCGGTGATGCTAAATTTTTATGCCTAGGAGGCAACTAAGGAAAATCCAAAGAGATCGAAAGAAAAGTCACAATCTAGACGGGGAGGTACAGCAGCCCCATAATTAGGTAAATTTCGTTATTTTCGTACATCAGATAATTTTTAGAATCGTGTCAAGTACATGTGTATTTTCTGAATCTTGCCACTATCATATAATCAAAAGGTGTTATTCACTTGTGTGTCTTTTGTACAATCTTCGTAATGGTTTGGATCAGTTAAATCCAACTAAATTATAATGAAAATATCGCAACGTGTTACAGGATTATGATTTTTTGCATATGATTTACAAGTAGAGGCGGGAGGCGATGATAACGGAACGATACAGCGGACATAGCACGGACGTCAAACTTACCTAACACCATAGGCCGTTATCATTCGTAACAATCGGAATTTCTAACAGAAATCTTATACAGCACACAACACTACTGTTGTGTATAAATGTACATTATTTGCAAAATGGTTGATCATCTGTTACAATGTGGAGGTATAACAAAAAGAAAAAAAAACAAAAACAAAAACAAAACAAAATTTAAATAGATAAATAAAACAAACATATCTATAACGTTGGTTAACATAGACTTCGATCAATTATAATAATGATCTTGTGATTAAATTCATGACTATTGCGTTAAAACAACCGTGAACATTATAATCCTCCTTGCTGTGTGTTTTCTATATATTTTTTTTAAATATCTTAACTCAACTTGAACGAAAAAAAATGTTTCAGCGAATGATGGGACCGTCATATTTTGCTACAATATTTCCCGTTTTTTTAATCTGAGTAACAGACGTCGTGGCTGGTCTGTATGAAGTTTCACTCTTTATGGTCTCTGGTTATGTATAACAGAATGTGCTGATTTCGACCTACACTTTAAATCTCATCCTATCTTACATATTTTAAATTTTGATAAAGTACAATGGGATTTATTCTTCGACGTGACTATCGAACTATTATTCCACACTTCGTCACCTACTATCAATGAGGAGAATTTAAAGGGAACGACATAAGTATATAACAGTTTGGTATCTTCTCTTTGTATTGTGTAACTGTACAATTATTCACATGAGTGTTTTTAATACGTTAAGTAAATGTGATGTCGCTATTTGTTTTCAACCCTTTCCAGCGATTATTGAACTTTTACAGCTATCACTGCACAACATTAAAACTTATTACAGTGGCTCCTTACAACATGAGAGTTTTGACAATTTAGTTTCTTAAAACTCAGTCACACGAGTACTGTCATATAATCATTTTCTGTTAACGTTACGTTCTCCATGCTCTTACAGCTTATAAATATGAGCAATTTACAGAGACTAAATAGAGTCTTTATTAAGTATAAAAGGTACGTGTCGTGACAGCTGAAATTCACATATTTCCTAACACACCTCTTTTCATTGGAAAATACGAAACCAGTCCAAATTCTCCATACCACACATTGTGCCTTGATAGGCTTCATTGAATGCAAAAGTTGCTCTAAAAACAAAATTGGTTATACAATGATAGCTTTGGTGAAACTGTAAGATCACTTTACCTCTAACTCGGCTATCTCGTTGACTGATGGCGCTGATATGCTTTTACATCTCCGTTTCTGTCGAAACTGTTCCGCTTTACAAACATCACGTTTTTCTGTCTTGGTATTGGATATTTCTGAAGTTCGACGTTCTGTCTCTAATCGTCGATCCATGTCTGTCCGACGGTCCATTTCAGTCCGTCCACAGATGGCTGTCGTCCGTAACGCGGCCTTGTAGGCTTCCACACAGTTACCCAGTTTGACGAGTAAGTAGTACAATACAACGATACAATGCTGAGAAAGGACAGAGTTGGATGTTAAGGCTAATACAGGCTCCTAACTACAGGTCTGTCCAATGAAAGTGATCCTCGAAAACAGACAAAAATACCTTGTCTTTGGATCTGTAAATAAAAAAAAACATGTTCTTAAATTTATATTTTACTGGTTAGGAAGAAAGAAATTAACAAGACAACATATTTTGCAAAATGGTACGGAATGAAATTCAATTTTGGCAGCAGATATTTGCTAAAAGAAAAACAAGATCTAACACAAGATCTGAGTCCTTATAGCACAACCATTAGAAGATTTGAGCGTGACGTTTAGATGACTACACGGTCACCTTAATCAGTTTTGAAATACTCTATACTCTTATTCACAGAATGGTGAAATTCTAATATGACTTTTTTGTTTTAAACGATTTCGAAATATAAAAATGCAACATATAAAAAGTCTTGTATACTTACATGAATGAAATCTCACAGCGTGAACTATTGGTCTGTTCTGGTAGCTGTCCGTATCTGACGAAGTCCCTCTAACGCTTCATCGACAGGGTGCTGCTGCTCATTTGTATTTAGAGCAGTGCTCAGTGTCGTTGGTTGGTGAACGAGGAGGCGTGTTTATATTGACTCGCATGGTGCAGGTGTATGACGTGTGTTTCACGAGTGGTGGACGTAAGCAATAGAACGTAGATATTTTTTATTGTTGACAAGGTTTTGTTTGTCTGCGGGAATGAGTTTTAAATAAGTCCAATGGGATTGCAGCCAGAGGTTGATTTTGTACAATGTCATGTTTGTAGTAGATATCAAGTTTGGTGCTGTAAACATGTCTTTAACACCAAGATTTTGGTCTAATTATCAATATTTCCCCTTTGTTTTTACCCGTTATTATGTTTACCTTTATCCAAACAATCTTAAATAACTGTCATGAAGTCCAGTTACTGTTTTCCTCAAACATTTATTTATGTTGACTGTTGATTCAGAGTGACACTCGAGCTCTCGCCGCGTGTCAATGTTTTGTAGTCAGAATACCGACACAAGACCATAACATTGATTTAAAAATATTTTTATTGTCATCAAACAACCGGGATTAGGCACAAGTTATAACAATTTAGTGATGCCTTCTTCCGAAAACAGTACATTAATCAACATATTTACAATATAATAAACTTAAAGTTTGGTAATAAAAAAAAATTATATCAAAACAGAGGAGATACGAAAAATGGAAAAGAATAGAATAGAGAAAGACAAACAGAGCCTGGGAAGAAGCAAAGATGAGAATGTGATTATGAACAACGTATAAGCATATCTTTATCTGCCATTGACCTTAAAACCGATTTGTGTTTTTAATAAAAGTTTGAACTGACCGAAAGATGTTTCCGTTTTGTTCATCAGGCAGGGTTTGAGAACTGTTAAGAAGAATATTAATTGTGACATTACAGTAACAAGATACATCATTGAATAAGACTTCACGTTGTCTTAAGTACAACCTACATTCAAAATAGTAATGCATTACATTTTACATTAACAAAGTTTATATGTTATTGTTTGTGTTTATTACAAGCTTTCTCTCTTTCTTATGTTTTAGGACCTGAATTTGTGAAAAAGATTGATTTTTTCAACATCCCAAAGTGATAATTTTTAACAATGACATTGAGTTAACCTACAATTTGTAATTCAAATTCTTTGTAATTATTTTCGTGGCTCAATAGCAACCAAGAAATCACGATTGTTTATACACAACCAACATTTCTTGTTATGTAGTATATGAATGAGTTGTATAAGTCTCATACCACAAAATGAAGTAAATCTTGCATCAACCACTAGGTTTCTATTAAAGACTCACTAAATGCTGTTTTACAACACGAGACTCACAGTCTTCTCAATACTTTGATTATGGATGGAATTAACAAGGATTTGATATACCGGATCTTACACCAGTTCAATTATATATGTCACGAGTCACTGGGGTCGATGTATCAAATTAGAGATTGATAAAATCAGTATAACATTGCTATGAATGATACTAACAATCATATAACTAATAAAAATGAAAAGCGAAAATTATCAAATTAATTTCCCTATCGAACATGTTTCGATGCGCTTGTTCCTTTTTTCACTGCCAAGCGACAATCATGTGACGTCATCAAGACGTGACTCATTTATGACGTCACAAAGCGTCATAATAAATCACACAGGTAGCATATGACGTCATTACACAGTCATTATACGATATTTATAACATGAACGTATGACATGACATGACAAGCCATTTATATGATAAAGATTTATATACATTAATTTTCAATACTAATTTCGTTTTCAAATAAAACAATAAAAATAAAACTGATGTACATGTGTATACCTATATTAATATAAATTCTGTTGTCATACACAGCACGTGTATCTAGACTGGTATCACTTATATACATGTGTATATCTATATTAATATAAATTCTGTTGTCATACACAGCACCTGTATCTAGGCTGGTATCACAGACAGTATCCTTGTCTGGAGGCTGTCTCAATGGATTCCAGCAGCAAAGACAGTATCATTGTCTGGTGGCTGTCGCAATGGTTTCCAGCAGCAAAGACAGTATCATTGTCTGGAGGCTGTAACCATGGTTGTCAGTAGCAAAGACAGTTTCCTTGTCTGGATGCTGTAACCATGGTTTCCAGCATCTCAGATTGTATCAATGTCTGGAGGCTGTCGCAATGGTTTTCTGCTGATAAGACAGTATCCTTGTCTGGAGACTGTCACAATGGTTTTCTGCTGATAAGACAGTATCCTTGTCTGGAGACTGTCACAATGGTTTTCTGCTGATAAGACAGTATCATTGTCTGGAGGCTGTCACAATGGTTTTCTGCTGATAAGACAGTATCCTTGTCTGGAGACTGTCACAATGGTTTTCTGCTGATAAGACAGTATCATTGTCTGGAGGCTGTCACAATGGTTTTCTGCTGATAAGACAGTATCATTGTCTGGAGGCTGTCACAATGGTTTTCTGCTGATAAGACAGTATCCTTGTCTGGAGACTGTCACAATGGTTTTCTGCTGATAAGACAGTATCATTGTCTGGAGGCTGTCACAATGGTTTTCTGCTGATAAGACAGTATCCTTGTCTGGAGACTGTCACAATGGTTTTCTGCTGATAAGACAGCATCTTTGTCTGGAGGCTTTAACCATGGTTTTCTGCTGATAAGACAGTATCCTTGTCTGGAGACTGTCACAATGGTTTTCTGCTGATAAGACAGTATCCTTGTCTGGAGACTGTCACAATGGTTTTCTGCTGATAAGACAGTATCTTTGTCTGGAGACTGTCACAATGGTTTTCTGCTGATAAGACAGTATCATTGTCTGGAGGCTGTCACAATTATTTTCTGCTGATAAGACAGTATCCTTGTCTGCAGACTGTCACAATTGTTTCCAGCAGCAAAGACAGTACCTTTGTCTGGATGCTGTAACCATGGTTTTCTGCTGATAAGACAGTATCTTTGTCTGGAGACTGTCACAATGGTTTTCTGCTGATAAGACAGTATCATTGTCTGGAGGCTGTCACAATTATTTTCTGCTGATAAGACAGTATCCTTGTCTGCGGACTGTCACAATGGTTTCCAGCAGCAAAGACAGTACCTTTGTCTGGATGCTGTAACCATGGTTTCCAGCATCTCAGATTGTATCAATGTCTGGAGGCTGTCACAATGGTTTTCTGCTGATAAGACAGTATCCTTGTCTGGAGACTGTCACAATGGTTTTCTGCTGATAAGACAGTATCTTTGTCTGGAGGCTTTAACCATGGTTTTCTGCTGATTAGACAGTATCCTTGTCTGGAGACTGTCACCATGGTGTTCTGCTGATAAGATATTTTACTTTGTTTATTTTTGTTGATAAAGATCTATTTGTTTGGATATATGTTAAAATGTAGAACTTGCTTAACCTTGAAGCATGCAATCAATTGGTCTTTTCATCACGAGGCAATATTTGGGTTGGCTAACCTCGTTCTCAAATGCAAACGTGCATATTATAAAACCATTATTTACATAATCTAACGATCACTTCGATTGGATGTGGTTGTGTTAACATTATATAGTTCATCTACTGGTAGCATACTCTAACTTTCCAATTGGCTCATTTCTAAGAGTTAGTGTCTTAGAGACACGATGAATTAAATTTTCGGTAATACAGGTTTAATTTTCGAAAAAGGTGAATGCAGATGTGATCTGTGAATTTCGTAAAAACACACGTGTACAATGGCATCATTAATGACCTACCAAATTGTAATTCCTTTAAATTGAATTTTGAAAATTACTATGTTTTTTTTTTACAAATACTATCAGACTATATGGCTATAGATCTTTGACTTAATTTGGTAAAATATCAACATCGCTCATTTAATGAATGTCAGCTTGGCTTACCATCAGAATATGCCCGTTTGAGCTGAATCAAATATTGCCTCGTGACGAAAAGGTCAATATTGATTGGCTGCTTCAGGGTTAAGTACTAAATCCCCGTCATTTCTTTATTCTTAAACGGTTTCCAAATATGAATAGAAAATGACCTATGCAAAAATGTCAGATATGGTTTCCATGGTGACGTTATGGTTGGGATGGACCTGTGACGTGCGTCGTGCCTGGCAGTCAGCGGAGGATTATAAACCGCGATAAAGAATCACGTGATCGGGGAAATGACTTTCGCTTTGCCTTGCTGTTGTCAAAGACAAATGGATGTTGCTCATTGCCAGTTTTGTGTTAATGAGCAGACCGCGTTTAGCGTCATGTACCTATACAGATACTAATTTTCAACATGTGATTTATAGTGAGAAAATCAAGGGAATTTGGATTTTTGTAAAAAGCTCCTTCATCGAAAACACTTTATAATTTGAGTAATGTTACGCTCAAAAATCAGAATTTTCTGCC